ACTTGTTGCAATGTGTCACTCAAATTATTTATCTAACAAGTTAAATAAAAAAAAATTTTTTGATCCAATAGTTGAAGATTTTAATGTCTTACAGACGACTGGTGTTTTTATTCCAACTCTCCATGATTATTTGAACTTTGTATTTACAGTATTAGCGGGTGATCATTTAGCTTCTAATGATATAGGTGGTTTTGAGAAAAATTTCAACACTGGAGAATTTTGCAGACATTGCCATGTAAATTATGATCAAAAACTTGTCCCTTCGAATCAAATTTCTCATCCTTGTCGAATGAGAGATCAACATGATAATATAGTTCAACAAATAATCAATTCGAATAATAATGTTGTACTACGTGGTGTTGTCGATGCAAGTCCATTAGCAGACCTAATAGGTTTTCATGCTGTTATTTCCCTCCCCAACGATCTAATGCATGACTTTAATGAAGGTATAGAAAAAGGAACTTAGTTTACAAAAAAAAAGATTTTTTTGTTTTTTCTTTAGGTGTTTGTAGACAATTATTAATGGCTATGTTAAAAGAAGCTTCAACAAAAAGAATCCTTACTTATAGTGAAATTGAAAGTCGGTTATTATCATTTGAATATAGTATTAATGATAAATCAAATAAACCACCAGTTATACGGAAAAAACATTTAAAAAAGGGTAAAATTGTTGGTACAGCATCACAACAGATGTTACTTTTTAAATTATTTCCAATTATATTCTACGATATAATTGATCGATTATAAACAAAAGAGATTTATATCTGTTTACGTGAAATTGTAAGTTTGGTATTTGCTTGTCCATTTCGAAAATCATGGCTGTCATATTTACAATCATTAAGTGTTCGTTTTCAATGTTTAATGGTTTATTTACTTCCTCAACTTGTAACACCTAAAGTTCATTTTGTTACAGACTATGCAAAGCAGATTGAAATGAATGGTCCTGCTATTCGTCATTGGCGCATGCGCTTCGAGTTGAAGCATCGAGTGTTCAAACAACTTGCTGTTAAGTCCAACAACTTCAAAAATATTCTTTATACATTATCAAAACGTAATCAAATGCACCAATGTCTTCTTTTATCATTTTCTAATTATTATACAATAGTTAATGA